AGAGAAAAGAAGTAAGTCTTTCCGAAAAGAAAAGGATTCGAAGAATGAAAAAATTTCCTCGGTCGCTGTATAAAATCCATTTTAGCGATCCAGGAGCGCGCGGCCACGGTGCCGTGGAGAAATGCATTCCGCTTACGAGCCGGGGGAGGGTCGAACGTGCGGTTCCAGGCCTCTGACCCGCCGAACTCTAATGGTCATTATGACAGGTACACAGAGTTTCCATTTTCAGCGTCGTCGGATAAACCTGGCACGTTTCTCTCCCACCTAATATTTCTCGCGGCGCCGCCAGATTTTTCCGACCCTCTTACGCCACTGCATTAACTTCCCGGCCGCTGGTATTATTTTTTTTTATTCTTTCCTGTGACCGCTATATATAAGTGATCACTTCATATTCCTGCGATCATCCGCTGGGAAATGTTCCACCGAGCACGTTCGATGCGCAGCGTAGCTCGCCAATGCGAACGTTTGCAACTTATCGTTGCGTGGAAGGGTTAAGCGAAGCTTTTGGACAATTACGGTTTCTTCCTTGCCGTGTTTTTTTAGCTATTATATGAAGAGTAAAGCGATCAATAGTAAACCTCTTATCAACATTCGATAAACGGTACAGTAATTATTTAAAAAATGTTGAAATGTGCTGTCTAGGTTAACATGTTGAATGCCATGAGGGTCACTGGTGAAAAATAACAAAAAGAGAAAAATACTAGGTATATTCTACATCTATGTTTGACGTAAGCTATGATTCGTAAGGGAGGAGTACTATTCAATTTGTATTCACAAAAATTAAGTAATATTTATCTTTGTTGACTTCTGTTTAAAATAGGGGTTAAAGGCAAGGGGTTAAGTAGCGCAAACGTTTCGTTTTGTCATTTCCAAACTGGTAATAACAAAAATGAGAATAAACAGTTAGAAGGGAAATAGATAGATAAAGTTTATTTGATTCTATATCCTTTCGTTTCAATTCAGATACTAAATGACGCTTTTCTATTTTTCCATAGGAAAATTTTGAATAATGCGACCGTTTCGTTTCGTCATTTCCAAGCTGGTAATGACACAAATGAAAATGAACCGTTAGAAGGAAAATAGACAGATAAATTTTATTTAATTCTACGAATCGATCGGTTGGCATTTTTAGGCAGCGTAACAAAGAACCGCGGTTTGCGCTTTATTATTTTAATTACCTCTGCTTTTGTAATGGCGGAAAAGTTCGGGTTGAGATAATAGCGTATTCCTTCCAAACTTCCTGGCAGCGTGACGCCTCGTATAAGCAGAATCAGTAGCACAGCATATGGAAACAAAGCCGTGAACCAAACTACCTGTGACAAAAAGTATCTTCCACGATTCTGCGATAGCTATTAACACTTCTATAAATTAGGAATCTTAATATCTTATTATCTACAATCGATCCTGATACATTTAAAATTATTTAGAAATTTCTTAGAAACTGTGATCCTTGTGTATTTACATAAAAAGAAACAGATATCTATAAATTAATGGATAATAATAAGATATTTTTTATACTTTCATAGGGTGCAAACTAAAACATCCTTGTTCGTACCAGAAATCGTTGAGGATAACACTTTATCAATTAAGCCGAGATTACGGTAGCTATAATTATGTGCCTCGCTCTGTTCATTAGTATTTAATGAAGACGTAATAATAATAACGCGTAATATGCGGACAGTAATGAAGCAAAATGTTGATTCGTGAAAACAGCGAGTTACTAAACTATCGATTCAAAGAGTGTATTTTAAACAACCCATGGAAATTTCAAGAGTATTTAAAAATATGGTATCCAGGTTTTTGTACAATTTTCAGTGAAATATATGATATTGTCAGATCTATACGTGGTAATCTCACCTTTCCGGAAGTAGAAATGCCCTTCCATAAAGAGAAGTAACAAATGAGGTAGACTACCAGCAAGCACAATGCAATGTCCCACTTAATCGCCCCAAGGTCGTGTAGCCCTTGGCTTTCGTGGAGTTCCAGAATGGCTCGGCTTTAAACAAAATGGTCCGAATAATTTTTCACGAATATGTTTATTTTCTACATCGCGGCAACCTTTTTCCACCGTTTGTAACTTTTATCTCTGCTCAACCCCTCGCCCTATGAATTTTCTTCTGGTCTTAGTTAAAACGGTTCCTTTATTCTCAATAATAATTTTCCAGAAAATTGGAGAATATGAATTGATTGTTACCATCTGATAACAAACCTTCGTATTTTAATGAATTTTCTATTCCAAACTTGTTCATACCCTGAGGAAATATTTCCCTGACTTTCAATGTGGGTCATCAATTTTCTTTCATACGACTAATGCTATTGTTCTTTAATTATATAGAATATTTACACGAATTCACAATTTCCCTCCTAATAAAAACTTTACTGTTCTGTTTTCTTCTGAATTTTATCATTTTATCATTTCGTTGCGTTCAAATGGCGACTGAGGGTTGCTTCTCGAGAATAAACGGTCAAATGTTAATTAAAAAGCTCGCGTTTACTTGAAGTATTCTTGCGCGGCGCTCGTGTACCACGTGTTGTTGTAGCCTTGATTTCTGGTTCTCTCCAAGTATTCCTCAGTCAGGGATGAATTGCTGGTGTCACGTGGTTCCAGCGGCTCGACAGGAGACGAATCTTCGAACGTGTAAGAGATATTCGCGTCGAACGCGCGACAATGCGGCGTGTTCCAAGGATTGTCGCAGGTGGTCCAAGGCAGGAGGCTGGAGAACGATGCGAAGAAGTACCTCAGCGCCCACGCGATGATCACGTTGTAGTAAAAGTCGACGTAGAATGCGATTAGTGCCACTGCGTACCCGATTCCTGGTTAAAGGATACGTCGAAACGTTTGAATATAGTTCAAGAGTGTATTGGAATGTTGAAACGTACTTGAAAGGTGTATAGAAATATTTAAAACTACTTAACACTAGAACACTACCGATCACTTAAACTGACTTTTACAAATTTCTTTATAAAAGCCATAAGCATGCGTTTATTGAGATTTCATTTGAGTTGCATTTCAGTTTTACTATTACTGAATTAGTTCCGTTAATAATTTCTCGTAGAAGTATCTGTATCTTTTCAGTAATTGTAAAAGAGAAAATCAGAAATAAGTCATTCTGACCCATCTGATAGTTCTAGTGTTAAAAAGTATATTGAAATGTTTAAATGCAGTTAAAAGGTATATCGGAATGTTTAAACATTCTTAATATATTGAAACATTTAAACATACTTAAAGAGTATATCATATCTATTTTACCAACGAGTTATTAGCAGTAACTATTAACGCAGCGAAACAGCGATAAACCAAAAACCTGAACAATTTTCATAGAACAATAGCATAGAAGAAACTTAAATTAATATTAGACACGTCGCTACTTAACACTTCATTCTTTTAACCCTTCACTTAGAAGATCTGTCAGATGTAATAGGATATTACAATTGAAAAGGATCACCTCGAAACAAATATTGGTAGCGATCATCAACATCAACACCGTACACTCGCAATACTCACCCTAAATGCTCACTCAACAAAAATATCAATAACATTTCTCAAATCCCTCGAAAGGATTAAAAATCTCTGAAGCGGACTGTCGGTTATACGTGTTTATCTTTTGAGGAACGTGACTGTTTGTGTTCAGGGGATGATTTTTAGGAGACATTTGATCGATGAGGGAAAATTATGAAATTAAATGGTCAGCTTTTGTATGATGAGTTGGAAATTGAAACGTTCGAACAGAATTATTGGGTTCGTCTGATTTGCTTATGATAAAAATCATCCCCCGAGCACAAACAGTCACGTTGCCAAAACAAAAACACATAACCAACATTCCTCTCGCGCACGAAACGAAGGACATCATTCGCCCCGAAAGGATTAAAAATCTCCGGAGAGGCAAAGATGGGGATGTGTCTTATGCCAGATCATCGAGTCAAGCGAATATTCCATTATCCCATGGGGAGGGTCGCCGGGAACGACGAATCAATTACGTAGTTCATCGATGCGGATCAAAAGAAAGGGGAAAAAAGGTAGAAGATCACGTGGGAGACAAGAGTCGAGGGGAATCCTGTGCTTACATCGATCATCGGGGCGCGCAATGTTCCCAGCTGGAATCGCCAAGCGACGAGGCAGGAAATCGACGGAAATGGAGGTTCTTCTCGAGTGGTTCGTTCGTCCACCCCACGGATTTCCCCGGATTTATACCCGTTACATAAAGCACGCCACGCCGCAGTGCACCGCCGTGTGCAATAAAAGAAAGTATACCGGATGTGCCTAATGCCTCGTTCCTCATTGTAAGAGATGACAGCGGAGTGCCGCGGAACGATTTTAGGAATCCTCCCGGAGTTAGGGGAGAGTAAAGTAATCGCCTCCGACTGTGGGACAGTTACGGGAATCGGCGAAAATCATTTTGACCCGTTCGCTTGGCCGAAGTGGCTTTATGAATCCCGAGATTCAACGGCGAATCGTTTGGGTCGGTTAGAAGATAGAAGTTAGGACGACTTTTTTTTGGTTAATACGTTCGCTACTTCAGCGCTTATTTCGGTGACGGTTTCTTTAATTATAATATTTTCTTCGATCCAATTGATCTAAACGAAATATTAGAAAAATGAAATGTGAGAGGAATCATTGAGTTTCTAAATATAATGTAGTTTATAGAAACCCAAAAATTTAATTTCTAATAATAATTCTTGTATAATAAAACGATATAATAAAACAATAATTTTTAATAACAACTCTTATATAATAGAACAATATAATGAAACAATAATTTCTAATAATAATTTGCATAGGATTAATTTCATTTTCATTATGTAAAATGTAGGATAAAATCTAGGAACATGTTAAAAATAACTAGTTTGTGAGATGTTAAAAGATTCTCGGAGCAGTTGTTACGTATATTTTGTGGAGAAAGTCTGCTTAGGCTATGCAGTGTAGGTATAAGAGAAATATAAGGTTAGTATCCGTTAGTAATAGTAAATATAAGGTATTAGTATTTACTAATTGATAGTAAATATAACATAGCAGTGTTTATTATTTGAATATACTTGAAAAAACTCTGAATATGTTGTGTAATCATTTCAGAAGCTAAAATATTCATTTTCATCGCGAGAGTGACACGTTATTATAGGTCAAGGGGTTAACGCTTTGACTGTCACGTGACCCGAATTCGGTCAGTACTTTTTACATATACTTAAACGTTGATTTCCTTGGTGACGTATCGAATGAACCAAATTTTGTTTGATGCGCCGTGTAGAAGGAAGATAATAAAGCAATCGTTGTGAATTATTTTTTATTAATAAGTAATGAATTATTTCCTCGAAATTAAATTTCTCAGAGAAAATTCTCGGAAAGCTCTCCGAAAAAATCAGTAAATAAGGATCAAAGTTCAAACCAACAATATTAGTATTGATTATTTTTCCTGAAAATTAAATTTCTCAAAGAAGACTCTCAAAATCTCCATAAGAATCATTCAATGAAGACCAAAATTCAAACCAACGATATGAATTTTGATTATTTTTCCTCAAACTTAAGTTTCTCAAAGAAGACTCAATGAAGATTAAAATACACATCAAGACAGAGTTCAATAAAGAGTTACCCAATGAATACAAATATGAGGATTCTACCGAACCTAGCAACAGAGGTCTTGGAAATGTAAATACTTGTCCACTTACCCTTCAACAGGGGCACTATGCGACCCCAGCAGGTGATCGCTCCCTTCCTATTGAACTGGCCAAGTGCAAGCTCCATATAAAACAGTGGAATCCCGCCCACTACCAGCATTATGCAATATGGAACCAGAAAGGCCCCTGTAAACACAGAAGAATCCACATTTCACTTCATACACCAGCAACTCCATTTTCAAATAATAAACCTCAAAGCTTGAAAATTTCATAAATCCTATTATCTCAAGCATAAACGAATAAGCCTGAGGAAACGACCCACGTTACATTTCGTAAAACACATAAGACACTGTAAAACTAATATATTGATCAGAAAAATTGAAAACTAAATACTTATTCGATAACACGTTCGATAACACGTTCGCTACCAGCGTTACATATTTACGGCCGTAATCCTATATTTTACATAATGAAAATGAAAATCAAATTAATCCTACAGATATTGTTATTAGAAATTATATTTAGCAACTCAATGACTCGCTTCAGTTTGATTTTTCTAATATTTCGTTTAGGAGATTTATTGAATTGAAGGGAATATTGAAATTTATGAAATTAATCCTATAGATATTGTTATTAGAAATTATATTTAGCAACTCAATGACCCGCTTCAGTTTGATTTTTCTAATATTTCGTTTAGAAGATTTATTGAATTGAAGAAAATATTATAATTGAGGCCACCGAAATCAGTGCTGCTAGCGAACGTGATAATGAGAGAATCGTTTGCAAATCTGTGAACAATCGTTCAGATGAAAATGGCTGTTTTCAGTGATTTTTAAACCTATCCAAATGAAACACTACTGTTAAACCTCCTTTTCTTCTAATCAACTGTTCAAAAGAAGAAAAGAAGGAACCTGTGATCAACATTTCGAAACGATATTAACCGTTTGCACTCGAGTGGTGAACCAGGAAAACTATGAAATTTGATATTTAATGTTGAACCTTATACAATATCTCGATACGTGAAATATTGAAATAAAATGGCTTTGTTCCTCAATGTACTTCGAGTACATACATACGAATATGATTCGAGTTAGTTTCAAAAAATATCGTCTTCGCCTTGTTAAAAAATGTTAAACATTTCTAGCGAGAAACTTTCGAGTGCAAAAGATTAACCAAGTTAACAACTGTTGGCGCCTAAAGGCTCCTGAAAACTTTAGTTAACATACTGTTAACGTCCATAATCAGCTATGAAATGTCATTGACAATAATTGCGACAAAGCTCGTTTAGATTAGACATAAGTGAATTCTAATTCAATAATTACACCTCTCGTTAGTCGTATATTATACAAATCTCATTATTTTAGATCGGTTTAATCGAGTTCGATCGAGTGTTTCGGTGGTTCCAATAGAGTTTCTTAGAAATAACCGTCGACGCAACGTTCTGCCGTAGCAGAAAGGGTTAACCCCTTGTCCTATGATTTATTTCTCAAGTGTGATCGATACAGTTACTTCGGCATTAATGATTCATTGAAAAACGAGACAAATTCTGTGCATACTCTAAGTCCATGTTTTTCCTACAATATAATAATTGATTACAGAAGAATAATATTTACTTTGAATTCGAATGAACCGAGTAATATATGTGTTTGTTGAATTATGTTGAAAATCTTCATCACGAGTCTCACTCGTTTTTGTAGGAAAAGGGGTTAATAACAAAGTAGGTGTGCCGATCATAGTTGAGAAATCGTAATTACAATTCGACGTAATTGAGTAATACTTACGTTTGTTAAATTCTATTTAAAATCTTCACCACGACGTCTCACGCGTTGTTCTAAGACAAGGGGTTAACGAAAGCACAGGAGAGAATCGGTATAAGGATAATCGAGTGAACGCGTTCAGTGGAGTCGAACGCGATCAATTTGTCCGCGAGCAGCGCGAAAATGCACGGATTCTTATCGTCTTTGATGACATCTGCCGCGCGTCAAGAGGACGGTGTGGAGAGCAGGGGAAAAAAGAGTGATGAGCGAGCCACTCGCATCAGCGTGTGTTAGCTGCATAACTGAATTGCTGGATATCCAGGGCACCCGGCTGTAGCGGGATGCTTTTAGGTGTGTAATTTGATAGTGAACTTTCGAAAATGTGGCAAGGCGAAGCTAAAATGACGATACGGATGGCACCGATCCGCGAAACGGTCACGGGCGAGCGTGGCTGTCGGACATTTTGAAATCACTTTTTCGTTGGGCAAATATTGGATAGGTAAAGTATATAGTAATATGTAAATAAATAATATATGTGTATATATGATAAAATATAATATTTGAATCTAATAGTTGAATCTCTTCTATAAAGTCACGTGAAACATCCTCAACATTTTTTAACAAAATTATCCATAAAATTTTTTCATGAAACATGAAATTTTTCGTATATTCATCCAACGTTTATAATATTGTAGATACAGAAAAAAATTCAAAACTATTATTTACAGTTTTCATAACTTTCGAAAAAATATTGAACATTCTATTCAGTGTTTTGGAGCACTCTGTATCTAAATCATTGCATTCCATTATATTATATCAAAATGGTATAAGTCTAATAACTGTTACTTCAATGCAAGAATAATAATAACGAACGTACTAGTTGGCGATGAGAAAGCAATTGGAACCTTAAATGTAATTTAAGAAACACGATTTCAAATAAAAATGACGAACGTGCCAATTAGAAACGAAACAAAGAATTGAATTTTAAATTTAATTTAACCCCTTGCTTTACAATATCGTGTCAGACACGATTTCGAATATGGTTTAACAAACATAAATGTCATAAAGTTCTGTTAAGTTTAAATGAAACATTGTTCTCGTTAGCAATTCGTATGATTTATACTAAATCTCGACATGGAAAGAGCATGGAATATTGTTATTTTATTTCACTAGTCATTAACCCCTCATTAACCCCTTGCCCTACGGCTTATTTTTCAACTATGATCTACAAAACTACTTTACCGTTAATAATTTACTGAAAAAAGAGACAAATTTTAGATATATTCTATGTTTGCTCTAAACTATAATAATTAGTAACAGGAGAGTAATGTTTCATTTGAATTCACAAACATTGAGTAATATTTATGTTTGTTAAGTTCTATTTAAAATCTTCACCACGAGTCTCACGCGTTATTATAAGGCAAAGGGTTAACAAGAAATAGTTCCAACAAATGCACCCACGAAATTCAATCGTAATGCAAACGGTTAAGAATGAAGTTTTAATAACAAGTAACTAATTATAATGCTCAACATCGATTGTTTCATAAAGGACACGTTGTATATTCCATCTTTTCACCAAATAATCTTACAAAAACACTTCGATTCTGTTAAAACGTTTCGATATTTCTACTATATTTATATATATATTTTCTAATCGAATAACTCTTGGAAATTATTCAGGACTGTATCGGATGATAAAGTGATCGTGGATCCACAATTCACGATTTAAAACGAGAATCCTCTCAAACGTATTGCGCATTCCTTTTTTCCGTTCTGTCTCTCTGGTTGCAGTTAAGTTCTCCCTCGTAACCACGGAGACGTAATCGCATTAAGAAAGAATATTCCCTTACTTCTTATAGCTCATGGTTACCTTGATTACTTCTTTCCCCCAATAATGAACAAGTTTAATAAAAGTGTACCTGAATGTTTTTTTCTTTCTCTTCTTGCCAGCTTACTGGCAAAAATCGAAGCATTTGATTCGATTTTAACGTAAACGAAATAAGAATCTTCTTGGTGATCGAAAACAAATGTGTTAAACTATTTCGGAATTGAGAAATAATTACAAAGAACAATGGCGAGTAATTACAGGGAAATATGAAATATAAGAAACAAAAACATAATGAACAAATAAGAAATAGTATATCTGTACGTTGTTGGTAAAGAGGATTAACATCAGAATTGCCTAGCATTCGATACGATTTTAAGTAAAATTGTAACGATAGATTATTTTCAGTTTCTCTGGATATCTATTATAGAATTCAAGTGAAACTATTTTCAATACCATTTCGAGTATTCAATGCTTTGAAGATATCGATCATTGCGAAACAAGGAAACCAGTCATTTTGAGTATGGTAGTTCTAGTGTTACGAATCTGTTGAAACAAAGAAAATAATAATATCATCATAGTCTTAAGCATTTAATCGATTAACAAAAATTAAAATCTAATAAGTTCATATCCAAATGTTCAAAAAAGCAGTCAGAAAGATATTGTGCAGTCTATATTAGCTACATAGAGTAATATCAATGGCGGAAATAAAATTCTCAAGCCGACACGGCATATTACGGTTGCCAGTTAAGATCTCGTTATATATAATTTTCACTAGCCACGTAAGATTCAATTGACGCATACAATGTGGGTTAGTCCACATTCTGCAAAGTCTAACCTAGAAAATGGTACAAACGAATGCTGCTTCGTTCACGTTTTATTCAATGATTTCTCTTAAAAACCTTAGAAGCTATGTTTTTCTTCGAGAATTTTAATGAAGGTTTATTTCTTAAGGAAATCATATATCAGTGACAACGATTGTTCGAACGTTAATTGACGCGTATTCTCTGAATACAACGAGCAGCAAATAAATTCATAACAGCATCTGTCGAATCTGAAACGTTTAATAACAAAAACATTGAACTTATATACGTTACAACCCAACAAAGGAAACGAATAAACATTTGCTAGTAACCTTTCGTTAATCACATTGAAGGACCACAATTAAATTCTTAAAATTAAAGCTACAAACTGTTTTATAATTCACACGGTTCGTTGTTCGAAAGAATCTTAATTAAAAGTAATCTGGCAAGGTACTATGCCAATTTATTCTCAATTAGGGGAAGTTCACAAATTTTGTGCATGTAAAAGCATGTTACCTGTAACTTCAGTCGTTTAACGAGCGTAGCTCGTCACTGTACAGTTCCAACCAACGACGAGCTGTACTCGTCAGTTCACTCGACAATATTTTTCGAGTTAAATATTAGTTGCAGATTGCATAAAGAAGCATCTTGTAGAAATGATGAGGCAGAACTGTTTTATTTCTATATTATTTTATATCGAATTCAAAGGGTTAATATTGAATAGGGATTCACGCTTAGCCTCGTATGTTAAGGATACTTTAATTTCTTGTGATCGCATTATGATTCATCTGCGCGGCCAAC